ATACCTGATGCCCAGAATTAAGAAAGGAAAGGTTTACTTAGCTCACAGTTTGTGGAAGTTTCAGTCCATACTCAGCTGGCTCCAAGGCAACAGTTCATGACAACAGAAGACAGCAAGAGCAGCAAGAGCAAAAGGAAGAAGCAACAGGAAGAGCAAACCTCATTCCCTCCCTTATATGCAGAGTCCCCACCCCAGGGCGGGTGTAGCACTCGCACCCATAATCCCAGCACTGGACCACGAATCAGTCAAAAACTGGGTTGATTTTGAAGCCAGCCCATGACTGCGAGAGGCTTTAGAGGGACATCTAGACACAAACCATAACATATGTGATGACACAATATGATTCTAATCAAAAGATTAGCAGTCTCCAAAATACTTCATTAAGTGTCATTTCTTGGTGGATTTTTCCTGATTTCATTCTAGCTTTATTTCCATAAATTTGATCTTATGTTGTGTGGTTCTTTATTTTCTGAATGTCCACACATTGTATCCCAGTGCATTCCAGGTGACTTCTAGAGATAACTAAAATTGGCTTATTACCATATTAAGTTTTAAGAAGCTAAAGTTGGAAGAAATTAAATACTTTCTTTAAATCATCAAACAGGTTAATGATGCAGTAAAGGTAAGACTCAAGTTATTTCAATTCTAGTGCAAGTTTTATTCATGACTTTTTGCTTCATTGTCTCTTAAATGCAGACATGCTACAGTTTCTTATTGCCTTACAAAGTACAGAATATTTGAAAAATTGTGAAACGGTACTAAAAATATTGAGACTAATATATAATGGCTATAGGTAAAATACAGTGATAATATAACAGAATATCATCAAAATTATTAGCAAGTGGGTATGATTTATTTCAGTTATGAGTATGGTTTCTAATCACATTCATTTTCCTATAAAAGCCTCAAGTTTATTTTTGTATAGCTGAGTAATACTCTATTAAAATACCACATCGTTTTTATTTATTCCTCAGTTGATGGGCATTTGGGTTGTTTCCAAGATTTTGCTATGAAAAATTTTGCTATTTGTCACATGGGTGCATATATATCGCTGTGGTATGATGTTTTCAATTCTTCTGGAAAAATACCCAGAAGGAGAATAGCTGGGTTGAATGGGACTTCTAATCCTAGTTTACTGAGGAATCTCCACACTGATTTCCATAGTGGTTGCACCAGTCTACACTCCCACCAACAGTGGAGAAGCGTTCTTTTTTCTCTACAGCTCCTGCAGCATTTTGTTTCCCTAGTGTAAGAACCTGAAAAAGTAAATAAAACCCAAAAGGTACAATAGATATTGTGGAAAGGAAAGAAGCTGCTCAAAGGAAAGGAACAACTGGGTTGAGGAAAAGGAGAAAAGAAAGAAGGAAGGGAAAATAAATATAGATATATAAGAATAGCTGGAATAATTGTACTGCTGATGTCTATTGGTTTATTGAAATGAAGAGTTAATGCTCAAATGTTTCTTTTTCTGACCAACTTTGCATGCTTATATCTGATAATCTGAACAACTAATTTGAAGATAACAATACACAATATAACAACCAGTGTTGATTAGTGAAAATCTGTACCATTTTAATGATTTTTTATCCTCTTTAATTATTTGATCAACCTTGCATTGTTACATCTGGTAATCTGAGCAACTTCATTGAAGACAACAATACGTAACATAACAACCATTTTTAACTTCCTATCACCTTGTTTTGAAATTCTGTATTGCTTTTGTGTTGTATCATTTTTGCCTTGGTTGTTGTTATTTTGTTTTTTCTCTTTAAGATAAAAAATTCAATAAAATTATTAAGAAGCATGAATTTATTGACACTGACTGTCTCATGAACTAGTCTGGATTTTTACATGGAAGATTTGATTCAATAGTAATATAGTTTCATTAGAGTCAGTTTTAGCTGACTTGATACTATTAATCAGCTGTTGTCTATTATACCCTCTCAGTAGACTTAGTAACTATTTGTTTATACACATGAAGTATTTGTCAACATTTTTGTCAAGACACATAGTGTACAAAATACTGTGTCATAATTCTTTAAGTTTTAGAGCCAAAGAACAATGTGGTAACAGATAAGAAATCATTCTGATGTTTGTATTCATTTTGTTCACTACTCATCTGCCCAATTTTAGAGATAAAATTGCAGCTTAATTCAACAAATGTGTAATTATTTCATAGCGACAGACCTGGAACCTTCTAACTCACCAGTCTTTCTGCTATATCATAGTGTGTATGTCTCGTAAAAAGCTCATAAATCTATCTAAATAGAGTGAAAAGTTTAATGATTTAAAGAATCAATCCAAATTATAAACCCAATTTTTGGTTAGTGCTTTAGATATGACAGTACTACCTAGAAACTAGCCTGAGGATATTATCTATGTATAAGTATAATATTATCTTATAATAAGAATTATTTCCAAATCACTCTTCTTCTGTGTATTATGGAATTATTAAATTATATTTATTCAACATTCTCACATCTTTTCATTTGACTTTCTTCCAAAAGAAGAGCTAAGCAATTATCTGATGAACTTAATGAATGCATGAAACCAATCTGAATAACTGCAAAAATATCTTTCCAATAAAGGCAGGGAGGGGATGTTTACTTAATTACCTTTATTTTATTTATAATTTTCTTTCACTCTACATTATTTTTTTCCAAAATAGAAAAATGGTAATCAGAATAAAGCTCCCAAATTTTGACCCTTTGATGCCATGGAATTACTCAGTGTATCTAACTTCTGGGATCTATGAAGTCAGGTTAGTCTTCTGGAACTTTTCCCTAATAACTCAAAGAAAACATCAGCCATTTTAGCAAAGGTGAAATCGTTTAGGTCTGTACTACCTGTACGAATTCTGTCTACATTACCTACATCCTTTCACAACTTCTCAGCTTTTTGCTTAATAGTGCTCTTTATGCCTGGCTTTTCCATTTATTTTAACAGCGCAGTCAGCTTATTTGAAACAAACAAAAGAACTTCAATTTAGTCTTAAACAGAGATCAAGGTTATCAAAACAGACCAATTTTCCTTAATAAAAATCTCCTTTCTGGCAAAACCTCAAAAAACAGAGCTTTGCCTATTAAGACACATCTTCCTCATTCTGCATATTTAAAATTTCAAATAAACAAGACCCTTAAGGCTTGACATTTTCTGGAATTTTCCTTTAGTTTTCAAATATAATTTGTCTGGGATGTCTTAATTCTTCTTGAACTCCAGAACTGTCTGAGATTCCAGTTTCTTTCTCACTGAGACTGAAACCTCTACAATGCAGTCCAATATCCAAATAAGTGACCTAGATGTTTCATCTGTAGTGTACCCTAGTCACTGAGAGAAGCTTTCACTGAGTGCTAAGACTGCCCTGCCTGCTAGGTGAAGCCTCTGTGCACCGAATAGCAATGGAATACCTCTAGGGCACAAGGTCTGTTGATGCATGCAAGGTGCATTTTCATCACTGACACCTCGGCAATTTCATTTGCTGCAGTAGCAACAGCAGAAGCAACTGCAACCTTAGATCTCCCGCTTGGATTATAGGCAGGGTCTTTTTCATACCTTCATTTAACAGAACATATATCCTAAATTCATTACCCGATTATTAAATGCATTTGCTCCAGTTCATACATACCGTCTGGAAACATTCCAAGGTTCTGGACTTCAATGCTCCAAATTTTAAATTGGTTCTTATTACACTGTTAAATAGACCATAATCTGCTACAGACAACTTTGGAGCATCTGTGCACCCCTGATGGCCAACCTGCTCTTTGCACTGTCATTGCAGAAACTGTAGAAGGTGAAGACTTGCTTAATGTTCTTGTTGAGATTGTGTAACCTTGTACTTTCACTATGGCTGTCACCTACAAGATTTGTGACAAATTCTGTTGCATACAAATGTACAATGAAAGTGGTCAGTATCAAATCTTGCAAGGAAGTAACTGTATTCATTTAAGAATGTTTTAAATCTTGACTTCCTCTGGAATTATTTTCATGCATGTCCCTAAATAAGTAGCCACAACCTCATCCTTATATATCTGTAAAGGGTTTAAGTTTTGGCAGATGGAATTATGAAAACATGAAATAAATGCTGATACAGGAATTGGAAGTCATTAGCCATAATTCAACTAGAATTTACCAAGTGCCACGCATTATATTTACAAACAGTGTCTCATTTAGACACACAGCTCCAGGGTATAAGGTTGACATCAGCACCATATGGAAGATGGAATGGAAAACACAAGTTTGGTCTATAGGAAGTGTAGTAGCTGGGAAGGCAGAAAGGACCTTGTGGCATAAATACCTTTTTGGAATGTGAATCTTGGACAAGGAGGCCCAGATGAAACTCGGGGGTGGGGATGGTTCCCTGTGGGAAACCCTACCACTCCTCCTAGCACTGGAGGCTGCTGTCTTCCAAGAAACATTAAGTTTCTAGGATCAGTCAAAGCAGATTTGGAGAATTTCGGGTACACTAACCGAACCCTGTTTACAGGGTTATAAAACGCTTTTCTGGGGAAAGATTTAATACCAGGATAAGGAAAGGTACTCTTTCAAGGTCAAATTCAGGTCTCACTAGTACAGATGTGTTGTAAAGCAGCTCCAGGATAAATCACCAGAGAAGTCTTAGAATAAGATAGGGTAAACCTCGACTTGATCATTTGGCCTGTCTTCCTTGGCTTGCCCCCAAACCCAACTCTTGTTCAGGAAATACCTACCCCGTAAGATTGTGGGTGAACAGGTCTCCGACCCCACCCACAGGGCCGGCTCACAATCCCCTTCCCAAACTGCTGTCAAAGCGCTCCTCGCCCTTCCTTATCTGACCTTAACTTCTCCTTAGCCTGGAGACGCAAGAGGAAAAGTTAAAGGAAATAAGAGCGGTGCTATTTTGGATGCCTTCAGAAAGGTGCTCGCGTCACTTCCAGATTCTATGCACAGATAATCTCCAAGGTATCGCTCAAATTAGAGAGACGGGGTTTTTCCTCCCGGCCCTTCTTCGCGCACCGGCGGGGAGGGCGGTGGGGGGCGGCGAGCACAGTCAGAGCGGAGTCGGAGACGGAGCAGCAGACGGCCGGGAGCAGAGAGGGAGGCGTGCAGGCCGAGCCGCGCTCGCTGCCCCCCAGCAGCCCGGTCCTGCAGCCCAGGGGCCCCCCACCCAGGACAGGGTCACCTTGCGCGCGGACGGCTGAGGGCGCGAGGGGGTGAGTACGAGTGTCTGCGAGACGCGGGGGAGCGCGCGCCGAGTCGGGTGCGGTGGAAAGGGGGGCCCGGTCCCCGCCGGGTCCGGCTCCCTGCCGAGGGGCTGGGGAGACCCAGGGGCAGGCGACACCACCTTCCTGTGCTACTTCGGTGGAGCAGCTCCGGAATTCAAAAATCTCCCTTCCCCTCCCGTCCTTAGCCGCTGCTCCCCCGGGCGAACTTTCGGGGAGCCGGCGGGTGCTGCGCGAGCAGGTGCTCCAGGCTGCGGGGGCGGGTCTGCTCGCAGACCCGAGGGCGAGGGACGTGGTTCGAGCCCCGGCGTCCCAGGGAGGCGCAGGTCCGGGCGCCCCTGCCTGAGTCTCCGGGGGACCAGCAGAGGTGAGGCGCCGGCCGGAGCCCGCCGCTGGAAGCTCGGGGGCCTTTGAGTGTTTATCACCGGCGGGTCTGCGGAGGGCCCGGGGAAGGGATGGCGAGAGTGAGAGGCTGAGAGAAGCCACAGTTCTTGGAAATTTGCAGTTTTCCAAGTTGATTCCCGGGGTAAAGGGGTGAGAAAGAGCCAAGTGCCGCGGCCACTGCAGGTCTTGACCAAGGAAGGGCTGTGGGCAGCGTCCTGCTCCGAGGCGCGATGGGGCTAAGAACGGGCAACCCGGGGCCGGGAGACTGAGGTCCTTCCTGGGGTTCCCGCCCCCCCCCCAGGGGCTTAAAGATTCGCCAGCGTGTGCCTTCAAAGTAAGGAATGAAATGAAGGGGTGAAGAGGAAGAGGACACGCAGACATTGGCATTTCGAATGCCTTACACTCGGTGTTTTATTTCGGGTTTGTGTCGTTTACATAAAAGTGGCCAGATAGGACCCTGGGAGGACACAGAACGTGCGCCCCCGCGCACTTCGGAAGGCCCTTGCGGTGCTGTAGAGGTCGTGTTCCCTGAGGCGCAGCACTTCCCAAGCACCTTGTAGTATAAGAAGGATGATTTGTAAAGTGTGCGGTTAAGAGGACAGAAGCAGGTAGGACGCCGTTCCGGTCCTTTTCTCTGGAGCAACTACTTAATTCTTGCTGTTTGATCGCATTCTAGTGGGTGTGCTATGCCTAAAACCAGCAAAGTGGTGCAAATTCACGGCACGTTCCGTGCCAGTTCCCGTTACACATAGATGTTTGAAATTCACCCTGGTGATCGATAATCTAACCCTAACTGCACTCACTGTGCTCCGTCCGTGTTTGCGGGGGAGGTGGACCAGACTCACAGCCGGTCACTGTTGGAGAGAGACTGCCCACGCCGACGCTAACCTGAGCGAGACTCCCATTGCCTCAGAGCTCCCCGAAACTCTGAAGGTGGTCCAGCATCAGCACTTCTGGTTACCTCAAAGGAAAGTGTAGCTCCTGCTTCCCTCGGCCCAATTCATTCTCTACTTCAAGTCAATCTTGATCATGAAAGCAGTTTTTCCCTATTTCCAATCAAAAGTGGTTTTCTAGATTTTGGAACGTCGCGAAGGACCAAAGTCGTGTATTTCTAGAACAAACGGGATACTTTCCTGGTAGTACCTTAGGAGTTCCTAGGTATCAAAAGTGACTTATTTTCTTCCGAAAAATGTTAGTATATTTTCTATCCGCTCATTAGTTAGCATGTGTCATTTGTTTAAGCCTCGGAAAAAACTTTGGCTTAGGACAGAGCCAGTAGGTTTAAGAGCTGTTCCCCTTCTACAGTTTATAAAAATCTCTATTTATTGGAATGAAAACAAACGATAAAAACAAATTTTTGTCACCTTGCCATATTAGGTAAATTTTATGCATGGTTAGGATTAAGCACACTTGTGTGGGTAGCTCTTTCAATTATTTTAAAAAAATACATGTATTACTTATCTAGATTTATAAAGTTCTTAGACATGTCATTCTTACAAGGATTATCATAAAGCTGCTTATAAAAGTAATTTAATTTAAAATTAGACATAAAAGGCCAGGTGTGGTGGCCCACACCTGTAATCACAGCCTTCGGGAGGCTGAGGCAGAAAGAGCATTGTGAGTTTGAGGCCAGCCTAGGCAACAAAGTGAGCTCAAGGCCAGCCTGAACTGCATAGTGAGACCCTGTCTCAAAAAGACAAAAAAAAAATTAGACATATATGCTTTCTTTCCCCCATAACTTCCAAACTTTATTGGAAATAATAGTAGTAGTTTGAAGGTTTTTAAAATCTCACATAGCTGGTTCCTTTTGAATTTCATTAACTATTACTAAATCATTTCAAGGATGTCTGAAGGACACTTTCTGGCATATCAATAATAAATGGATAATGTAAAACAATCTTGCTTTTTCTATTCCTTTACCCTTACATTAAACAGGCAAGAAATACTAGTTTCTGCTCTAAAAGTTAAGTACTTACTGGAAAACTCAAAATTGTAACAGGAATGATTCCTCCACTTGAAAATATAGAATAAGAAATATTTCAGAGCTTAGAAATGAACATCTGTCAACAAAAATTATACACGTACACATAAGTGTTAAGAAGGAGAAACAGGACAGATCTGCTCACATCTATAATTTGTGATGTTTCCTTCTCTCAGAAATAGTATGTGGCCTTTAAATCCAAAATATGGAATTTCTGTTTGCTTCCATGCCTTTGGGAAGACATGAAAGCATTCCAGCAGGAAGCATCTTATGAAAATCCTCTTGCTAGAGCATGAAGATTACCTTCGGGAAAGAAGAGAAGGCTGGAGAAGGTTGTTAAGAAACCACGAGAGCTTCTCAGCCTACCCTGTAACCAGAGACAGCAACAGAAAATTGAGAAGTGACTGAATCCTGGATTTATTTGGAAGTAAAGGGGAGAAGACTTGAGGATAGATTAATGCTGTTGTTGATGGAAGGAAAGCAGTCAAGGCTCATGTACAGAATTATAACCAAAGTGACTGGAATAATGAATTAGTCACCAAGTGTTATGGGAAGCCAAAGGAGAACAGTGAAGTTCCGAGCAGCTTATTAGATCCCCGGACTCAGAGATCACAAGGGTTGTGGAGACCGAGCTTGGAGACAAAGTCAGAGCTAGGGATGAAAATGTGTGAGTCATCCGCGGAGAACTGGCATCAATAGCAAATGGATCTTATTAAACAACTTCAGGAGTTGGTCCACTTAAAGGATCAAGGTGAGAAAGAACAGTCCAGAACACAGACGCTGACAAGACTAGGAGTAAGAAATGGAAACTGGGACAGAACAGATGAGTAGGGAGAAACCCACACGGTATAATACTGGGCAACCCAAAATATACAAGTGTTTTAAGAAGAAGCAGGTGATGCCTGTTGTCTTCAACTTTGCTGAGGCGTTAAAGAACAATCTTTATATGACCTTTGTGTTAGTTTTCTATGACTGTGAAAAAATAACTGAGGTAACCACCTTGTAAGGAGGAAATATTTATTTTGCCTCACAGTTGTAGTACGTGGCAGACAGGAGTGGTAGGAGTGTGCAGTGGAGACCTGTTCTCTTCACAGTGCCCCGGGAGCAGAGATAGGAAGGGGTCCAGCTCCCAGTGTCCCTCTCAAGTGCAGGCCATTAAGACCTACCTTCCTTCCTCTAGGCCATACCTTCTACAAGCTCCACCACCTCCCAACGCCTGCTGCACATGCATCTTCACAGGGCATTCAGTATCCAAGCTACCACAGCATACATAGGTATTATTTCAATCAAAATGGGAATGGCTACAGATGGATTGATGAGTATTAAATAACTATTTGCAACCTAATGATTTCAATCATAGGAATTTATCTTACAGATATATTTAAGTAAAATAGCATCTGTTCAAAACAGCTTTGTGCATAAGCAAACAACAGAAAATAACCAAAATAGATGTGTGTAGTCAATCAACAGAATACTGCTCAACTGTTAACATTATTAAGATAGCTTTCTATGTACTGAAAAGAAAAGATCTTTGACCTATATAGAGCAAGGAAAAAGTTGCACAATAGTACTTATCATTTACCAGATAAAATGGAAAAATGGATCTGTATATAAAAATCTGTTTTAAAAAACAGGAGATAATGGTGTTTGCCTACAGAAAGGGAAAGTGGCGGGGTAGGACATATAATGAGAGGAAATGGACGTCTGTATATACTTTCATTCCTTTGAATTATGTACGTGCAGATTGCTACTTAAATCTCTAAAAAATTATTCATAAATCTGAAAAGTATTTGTAACTTAAAATAAGGGAAAAGAAAGGATGGGGTGGTGAGGAAGTGAGCACTCTAAATAACATTAAAGAACTTTTCAGAAGAAGATTAAAGGTGCTGGAGGAGGCATGGAGATTTGCTTTTAAAGTGGAAGCTATTAATGTCTGCATTAAACTAGTGAGAATGAACCACACAGAACATAAAGTTGATTTTTTTAACAATAGCATAAAGAGAATAATTGTGGGAGCATATTTCTTTAATAAGCGGCAGGGGAGGGCACTGGAATTACTGGTGAAAGGAGGAACTGGCTTGACCAGGAAGAGAGTGTCATTTCCTAGAATCCCACACACAGTGGTCGGTCCTTTGCTCAGCATTCTGTATTCCTGCATCATTTGTGTAAACTGTTGCCATTGATGCTCCCATAAAGGCTCAGTTTCCTGTGCCATTTTCACCCTCGACATCTTGTCGAATCTTTCCTTATGATTGCTTGGTTCCCCTTAGCAGCTGGCACAGTCGTCGCCCTTCTGAGAATTAACTCTGCCTCTGCCACCTGCTCCCTCCCTCTCAGCATTATTTTTCTTTACTGTGAATTCTGAAGTTCTCAAGAATGAGTCTCCCTGACACTTCTAACTCTTGTGCATTTATCTGCTCAGGGACTCAGCTGCCCTGACATTTGTAGTCAAGCTACCTCTGCCCCTGCTTTGGACCCCGCAGTAATTCCAGTCCAGTCTGGACCTTGCTTAACAAAACATTCTTCGCTGGTGACTTTAACCTCTACTTTGTTTGATGGCTCCACCATCTAAACGTATTATTAAGATCCTGTCACTCCCATCCTCGAGACCAGAAGACAAAGGTAA